TGAAATAAAACTAAAAATGTATATGGCAAACATTACTCTTTGTGTTTTATTTACATTTGGTAAATAAATTTATTTATTTATTCATTTATTTACTCTGGTTACCTTAAATTACTTCATGATTACGTACTGGTTTGGTGTTGATCTCATGACTCATTTTGGTGTTGGGGAGCCGGTCAGCCGAGCGGACAGCACGCGGGACTTGTGATCCTGTGGTCCTGGGGTCGATCCCAGGCGCCGGCGAGAAACAATGGGCAGAGTTTCTTTCACCCTATGCCCCTGTTACCTAGCAGTAAAATAGATACCTGGGTGTTAGTCAGCTGTCACGGGCTGCTTCCTGGGGGTGGAGGCCTGGTCGAGGACCGGGCCGCGGGGACACTAAAGCCCCGAAATCATCTCAAGATAACCTCAAGAATCTCGAGAAGATGACTTATCAATCTCTGGAGGGTTATTACGGCCACCACAATAACTTACTGACCAATCAACAATTATACTTTACACCTCAATATAGTCCAGGACTAAAGTTATATGTGTAAATGTACCGAGACGAAAGGTGCACCGCTTGCTGTATATATCTGCTTACATATTGTGTAAGAAGGAATTCCTTCTGAAGATGTATTATTAAAATACGAAAGTACTTAAGGAAATTCCTGTTTCAATTCTTCCTCCGTGGTCTGACACTCACATTTTTCCTCCCGTGTTAATTTTCGTGATATACACACAATATAAACCTTTATATTAGTTAGAGATTGAGTTGTGTGCTGGACACCTTACAAGACAGCGGGAAACACTTCCATCTTCACCGGAAGGTCCTTACACTTCACCTACCTTCTTCTCCTCCTCCAAATTAACCCAGAAATTTAGGTATATCCCCGAATATAACGACAGTCTCAAGAACAATAATAAAGACCCATAAAGTCACAACAAGGAACAGGTTGATCATTGTTGTGTAACAGCAGAGAAAATATTTAAGTGTAGCACGTTCCAAAAATATTTGAGGATTCGAATTAGACCACAAAAATGATCTTTGCTACAGAAATGGCCCCCAGGTGTTTAATGGAGCGAAAGTATTAGCTAAAAAAAAAGGGAGTAATTTATCAACCAGTCTATTTAGAGAGCTGACCAAGCAGAAAATGGAATTAAATTGGTCAGGACATTAATGAAAGGATGGGGAGCTCGGGTCGTCTGCCGGCTACACACACCATCCTCCCCCCCCCCCTGCCAGATACACACCTCCGACACCCCTGCACCACACACCTCCCCCCCTCTGCCACACCCCCCTGTATCAGTGGAGGCAGTAAGGACCCAGCTGGGGAACCTCCGTGACAACAACAGCGTTACATGATCAGCAGCAGCAGGAGCAGGACACGACACACTCTCCACTTGGGTTAACACAGCAAACATCTCAAGTTTTGAGCACAAGTCTTTTGTGCCAGTGTTTGCTGATCATGTAAAGTAGATGAGGAGAGTCAGGACTCAACACGGGTGCTCAAGCCTGGCGCAAGGAGACCTGGGGGCCAGATTCACGAAAGCACTTACGCAAGCACTTGCGAACGTGTACATCTTTCCTCAATCTTTAACGGCTTTGGTTACATTTATTAAACAGTTTACAAGCATGAAAACTTGCCAATCAACTGTTGTTATTGTTATAAACAGCCTCCTGGTGCTTCAGAGCTCATTAACTGTTTAATAATTGGGAACAATTAGAACTTTGGTCCCGTCTCTCAACTGTCAATACAGTTCAACTGTCCAGTAAAGACAGGAAAAGCGGGGGCCCAGGAACAGAAGTTCAATCGTGCAAACTCTGCTAGGTAAGAAGTGCCAGGGAAGTCCTCATAGAGTAGTAAAGAAATGTTAGTAAAGAACACACACACACACAAAGTTTCAACCGACCTCCGGATAATGGCAGACAGTAAGCTTTTGTCCGGATTGAGGCGTGTTTGTCGTAGGAAATTGGCGGGTGTTTTGCCCGCTCCGCCCGGCCCACTATCGGAAATTGGGGATCGTGTTACCAACTATTGCCACGCTGCTGACGAACAGTGCCTGTTGGGCCGCCCCGAGGCCTTGTTTACCAGCACCACCAGAGTGGCGGAGGGCCGGGAGGAGTGGCTGAGGGCCGGGAGGAGTGGCTGAGGGCCGGGAGGAGTGGCTGAGGGCCGGGAGGAGTGGCTGAGGGCCGGGAGGAGTGGCTGAGGGCCGGAAGGAGTGGCTGAGGGCCGGGAGAAGTGGCTGAGGGCCGGGAGGAGTGGCTGAGGGATCTACAGGAAGATTATCATTTTTTCCTGATTGGTTAGCATTTTCACAGCTCTCTCGATTTCCTGATCTGTGAGTGATTCAGTGTTTAAGTTAATTACTAAATAGGCAGCAAAAGCCAAGCCAAGCAGTAAGGACTTACGCTCGCTGTCCTGTCTTATCCAACAACGGCTTAACGTCGCCTTTCAAATTTCAAAAAATGCAGATATTTCCTATACAAAGTAATTAAGTATAATAGTCTTGTGTCAATAGCTTTACCCTTCATGACAACACTTAACCTATTTGTTTCAAAGGTATTTATACTGATGGAACATTACTGGCCCACACACTATGCTCCTCATTCATTCAAAGACTAATCAGAGTAATTAGTTTAGTTAGAACTTTTGACAGGTTTTCTGCAGTAAACTGTTTATCAGACGGAATCACATTATCTTAATTGTATAAATTTAAATTGAAAAACTCTCAAAGTTATTACAATCGTTATAGTCTTTCAGCTGGAATATTAAATTATAGTCCAAAACTCTATTAGCGGCAACACAACACAGCTGTCAGTATAAGCCGTGTTACAGCTGCGGCAGTGTGTGCAGCAGTCACAGGCCGCGGTCTGCTCTCTTGTGTAGGCCTACTGTAGGGGGAGTACAGGCCTCCTAACATTGATTTTCGAACCCCCATCAGTGTCGTGGGAGTCCCGACCCCCCCCCATCCAGCCTCGCCATCTGCTTGTTACCCCTCACTCACGTCTCTCAGTCTCCCCTCAACACCCCTCACTCACACCTCTCTAGTCTCCCCTCAACCCTCAACACCCCTCACTCACGTCTCTCAGTCTCCCCTCAACACCCCTCACTCACACCTCTCAGTCTCCCCTCAACACCCCTCACTCACACCTCTCAGTCTCCCCTCAACACCCCTCACTCACACCTCTCAGTCTCCCCTCAACACCCCTCACTCACGTCTCTCAGTCTCCCCTCAACACCCCTCACTCACGTCTCTCAGTCTCCCCTCAACACCCCTCACTCACGTCTCTCAGTCTCCCCTCAACACCCCTCACTCACGTCTCTCAGTCTCCCCTCAACACCCCTCACTCACACCTCTCAGTCTCCCCTCAACACCCCTCACTCACACCTCTCAGTCTCCCCTCAACACCCCTCACTCACACCTCTCAGTCTCCCCTCAACACCCCTCACTCACTCCTCTCTCAGTCTCCCCCTCAACACCCCTCACTCACACCTCTCAGTCTCCCCTCAACACCCCTCACTCACACCTCTCAGTCTCCCCTCAACACCCCTCACTCACACCTCTCAGTCTCCCCCTCAACACCCCTCACTCACACCTCTCAGTCTCCCCCTCAACACCCCTCACTCACACCTCTCAGTCTCCCCCTCAACACCCCTCACTCACACCTCTCAGTCTCCCCTCAACACCCCTCACTCACACCTCTCAGTCTCCCCTCAACACCCCTCACTCACACCTCTCAGTCTCCCCTCAACACCCCTCACTCACACCTCTCAGTCTCCCCTCAACACCCCTCACTCACACCTCTCAGTCTCCCCTCAACACCCCTCACTCACACCTCTCAGTCTCCCCTCAACACCCCTCACTCACGTCTCTCAGTCTCCCCTCAACACCCCTCACTCACGCCTCTCAGTCTCCCCTCAACACCCCTCACTCACACCTCTCAGTCTCCCCTCAACACCCCTCACTCACACCTCTCAGTCTCCCCACAACACCCCTCACTCACACCTCTCAGTCTCCCCCTCAACACCCCTCACTCACACCTCTCAGTCTCCCCTCAACACCCCTCACTCACACCTCTCAGTCTCCCCTCAACACCCCTCACTCACACCTCTCAGTCTCCCCCTCAACACCCCTCACTCACACCTCTCAGCCTCCGTGTGTGTTGAACAAAGAAGACACGTGCTGGCAAACATCAAGAATGCAACTGTTGCTGTTTGATCTTTGGCCTGTGTGTGAGTGAGTGAGTGAGTGAGTGAGTGAGTGAGTGTGTGTGTGTGTGTGTGTGTGTGTGTGTGTGTGTGTGTGTGTGTGTAAGGGACGACTGAGTGTGATGGAGTCTGGGCCATGGCTTACACCTGCTGAGAGCGCAAGACCCCATGACTCAGGAGTATAACACCCATAGTTTAGGAGTACACGACCCATGGTTAAGGAAGCAGGGCAGGGGGGTGGGTACATATCTAACAGTACCCACGGAGGAGTGACGTCTAGCTCTTTATGGGAACATAAACACCTACTGGGCTTGTGGTCCTTTTCATAACAACTCAACTATTTGGCCATTCAAATTCTTTACCGAGTCTGGCCATGAAATTGTGGATGGAGGTGGCTTTCCCAACTACTACTTTCAGTGCATTCCACTTGTCGATGGCCCTACACAGGATACCTTACCTTACCTTGAGGTTACCTTGAGGTGCTTCCGGGGCTTAGTGTCCCCGCGGCCCGGTCGTCGACCAGGCCTCGGTATGGGTATGTGTAGTGCCTTACAGTCCTTTGGTGTTTGTACTATCCACTCCCAAATCTCTCTTTTTTTCCCATTCCTGTAGTTACCTTCCCCTTATGGAGTTGATGGCTTCCAGTCTCCTCTCTTTCTTTCCCATCTTCATTACCTTACATTTGTTGGGACTGAATTCTAGCAACGATGGATGGAAGAGAGGTTGGGTGGGGGAGAGTGGATGGAAGGGGGAGTACACGGGAGGGGTGGATTTGGGGGAGGGGTGACTGAACTTAGAGAGGCAACAATGTGGGAGCAAAGGAAGAGAAGCAGAGATCAAGGTCCAGGTATATTCGTGCGTGCGTGCGTTCATGCGTGCGTGCGTGCATGCGTGCGTGTTCAAGAGGCCAGGGAACGGCTGGCCAGGGAGGGAGAGAGGGAGGTGGGTGTGTGCATGAAAGGTCAGGAGTTAATGGTGTACTGCTGTGCTGCCCACCTGAGCCACCTCCGCGGGTCACCACTCACCACCATGACAGACGCTGGAGGGGGGGTGAAGAGAAGCATCAGGAGTGAAATGTTTAACTCGTGGGGGGGGGGGGGGGACAAGAGTTAGAGGTTATACCCTGGAAACACAAACCGTAACTGATTCTATTTTCCGCTTGTTACAACTTGTAATAAAGTTGTTACATCTTGGCTTAACGTGTTCATGACGTATTAGAACGTTGTTACAACTTGCTATATTGGTTGTTATAACTGGTTAGGTGTTAAATCTTGTTCCAACGTTGTACCAACGTCGTAGTTTCGGTGTGTGTTTGGCGGGTAGGAACCTTCGAGCCAAGAGTTGGTGATCTAATTCCCTTGCTTGCACTCCGTCGATTATCCTGTCGTTCCCTCACTCAATTTACACATCCGTATCACGAGCATTGGCCGAGAACACAATATTTTAAATTCGGGAGAGATAAGAGCAGTAGCTTTAAGATGACTGACGTGAGGGTAATAGCCGGCACGCGTCGACTCCCTCTCCAGCTGACGGCGGCGCCAGATACTTCGCTCGCACCTCAAAACATAATTAACATTTTATAGATAATGGCGACAAGCGGCGCAGTACAAAGTATAGGGCTAAATTGTTGACTGAAACGAGTCCAGATATATTGCTCCTGCAGACGCCACTAGACAACTGGGCCCAGATTCACGAAAGCACTTACGAACGTGTACATCTTTCCTCAATCTTGACGGCTTTGGTTACATTCATTAAACAGTTTACAAGCATGAAAACTTCCCATTCAACTGTTGTTATTGTTATAAACAGCCTCCTGGTGCTTCCGAGCTCATTAACTGTTTAATAATTGTAAACAAAGCCATCAAAGATTGAGAAAAGATGTACAGGTTCGTAAGTGTTTGCGTAAGTGCTTTCGTGAATCTGGCCCCAGGGCTCCACCACAACGTAAGGAAGGTGTCAGTTGCTGCCTCACGTCTGCACAAAGTGTAGGTAAGATAATAATATTTGTGTTGTCATCGTAATGTATTCGTAAGGTTACAATACATTTTCATGTTACAATGCAGCGCGGCTAGACAACTTCTTTCATAACAAATGTAACTTGGAAACGTTAGCTTTGATCAATGGTATAACGGTATATACTTGTAGATATATGAGAGAGGTTTAGCAGGGTGGAGAGATGCAGGCCTCGCAGGTGAAGGGTGTCAAGTGAGGGTAGAGTCCGTGAACTGGTGGGCAGGAATGTGGGGCATGTCACAATTGGCGAGTCTGGTACGTGTTTCAATTGGGTGAAGGCATCTGAATTGTGTCGTTATTGAGGAGTATGGAATGTCTGGGATTGTTGGTGTGGGAGGAGTGGTTTTTGGCGGTGTGTTGGAGGGGGGGGGGGATGGTCCGTGTCCCCGAGTTCTTCGTGGTAGTCTTTATTTATAGACAACATTCGTTAGCAATGAGTGTGGAGGCGTTAATACTGGTGATAGCATTAGTAGACACAGGTCCTTCACTCTGGAACAAAGCACAAACTGAGTTACATTAAGTAACACCTGAATGCAGAAAATTAGGACTCAAAAAGTCTGCAAAGAAATTTATGGAACTGACAATTGAAGGCCAGACTCCGGAGAGGAACAGAGGCCACCAAGACCCTTCAGTGAGTTACACAATATTAATATCTTGGCATAGAGATAGGTGCTATAAATGGTATTTAACACGCAGAGTTAACATCTGATTTTTTTTAATCCCGTTGGAGTGTAAAGAAAGGAATCACATGGTCCCGTTTAGGAGCAGGACATGAAGTGTTAACAATGATTAACTAACAAGCCATTCACTCGCTTAGACGCAGCGCGTCCCTCACGTGTTCTCCTAGCCAGTGGACCCAAGGTTGAGGTTATTCAAAACGATGCAAAGCGAGTCATAACAGGAGTTTCCAGATCGACTAAAAACCACAAACCTCAGAGCTATAGATTAGTTATTCTCGTATCAACTAACAGCAGTTGATACGAGAATAAGAGGTCTAGCTACAGGGATGCTGACCAAGAACTGGTCAGCATCTTTACTACTACAGTTTATAAAACAGTGATGATGCATAGACTGTTCCGTGAGCCAGCGTGTCTTAACATACAGCTGCTCCAGCAGGAAGAGTCTTCCAGCTGAGGCTGGCGTAGCAGAGTGTTGCGGGAGGCCAGCTGACCTCTCCTCCTCACTGCACATCATCATAAACCTCCAGACTCTAGCGATGAACGGAGCCAGATGGTGAGAGATTACACCACATTGTGCTCCTGCGCCCCCCCTGCCCCCTGCCCCCCCCTCCCCCTGCAGCTGCCAGCCACACACACACACACACACACACACCACACACACACACACACACACACACATCTATATTATTGTGTTTGCCGTTTAGATCAACCTAACCTCACTGTAAAGCCAGCTATAGCATCTTATAATGATTGGCAGCATTAACGTTAGTAGGCTTCCATAAGCTTTTGTTTAGTGTAGTTGTGTTACTGGAGTGTGAGGTGGTGTGTTGAAGCGTGAGTCAGCAGGGCGGGTTTGCTTGCCACGGAGACAACCTGGTTTTTCTTAGTGTTTTTTTTTTGTGGTTCATAAACCATCAAACTTCTTCAAACAGAACCGGTTCGCTGCTGGGCTCTCAAGACCAGTTTGTCATTCGTTATTAATAGTTTTACTTATAATGAATATATATATATATATATAAGTTTTGTTATTATATTCACAAAAATCACGAAGCATTCATTGAATGAACAAGTAGAAGTGGTTCAAATGTGACCCCTCCCCCCCCTCCACCCCTGCAACCCACACACGTGTTTGATAAAAAGCTGAATAAAGAACCTTCAGCATTACAGTGTAAACTTGCTGGAGGGAATAAAAACAAAAGACAGTAAATAAATCGGTGTGCTGGATACAGAGCCGCAGGAGGACATGATCAAGTGATCACGTCTAACAAAGAATGAGGAACCGCTCGCGGGAACGACATGTTTTAAGGAATTTGTCAAGAATTTGCCTCAAGGTTGTAAGAACTGAACCAGGAAGACGAATATAAAGGAGACAATAGTAGACGGGACATTTATTGGTCTGGAAATGGCTCTTCACCCACTGAAGACGGCCTTCAGGAGCCCTTCTTCACCCACTGAAGACGGCCTTCAGGAGCCCTTCTTCACCCACTGAAGACGGCCTTCAGGACCCCTTCTTCACCCACTGAAGACGGCCTTCAGGTGTATTAAAACATGTGAGGAAGGAGCCAGGACGGGCGGGTACATGACTAAGACTCCAACTGTTGCAGGCGTCGGGGTCGTGGTGCGAGGTGTGTGTGTGTGTACCAGGTGTGTGTCCAGGTGTATGTGTACCAGGTGTGTGTGTGTGTACCAGGTGTGTGTGTGTGTACCAGGTGTGTGTGTGTGTACCAGGTGTATGTGTACCAGGTGTGTGTGTACCAGGTGTGTGTGTACCAGGGGGCGCAGCAAGCATCAAGGCTTCCAGCATTACCAACAATAAGAAAACAGTCCACTGTGTACTAGTCAGCTGATGAACGTCTGTTGTGCCACAGGTGACCTTAACACAGTGGTTATAGCAGTCGGCTCACAACCGCTTGCTCCTGGGTTCGATCCCTGGGTAGGGCGAGACGTTGGATCATACACTTTTGTTGTTGATGCCTCTCTTGGCCTAGAAATAAACACCTGGGTGCTATTCAACTGTTGTGAGTTGTATACTGCACAAAGAAAGGCACCATGGACTTGATAACGATCCAGGACGGACCGACCGATCGTCTCCTCATCTTCTGGTGTGTAGTTTGGTCATCAAAAGCAAGTCATTGGCCCAGGTGAACCATGATATGTTCAACAGGATTCCAGTTCCTGACAATGGGAAGCCGAAGTTATCAGTGTGTGTGGGGGGAAGCAAGACTAACTTCGCCTGCAGGTGACTATGTCTCTCTATCTTAGCGCCATCTGCTGTCATAAAGTATAGAACCGTTGGTTCACTCACTGTCAAACACTGTCCCGGTTAGTTATGTCCAGACATTATTGTGTTGTGTGTTGGTAAACACACACACACTCCAGGTGTTGGTACACACACATACACACCAGGTGTTGGTACACACACACACTCCAGGTGCTGGTACACACACACACTCCAGGTGCTGGTACACACACACACTCCAGGTGCTGGTACACACACACACTCCAGGTGCTGGTACACACACACACTCCAGGTGCTGGTACACACACACACTCCAGGTGCTGGTACACACACACACTCCAGGTGCTGGTACACACACACACTCCAGGTGCTGGTACACACACACACTCCAGGTGCTGGTACACACACACATACACACCAGGTGCTGGTACACACACACACTCCAGGTGCTGGTACACACACACATACACACCAGGTGCTGGTACACACACACACACACAAACACTCCAGGTGCTGGTACACACACACATACACACCAGGTGCTGGTACACACACACACACACAAACACTCCAGGTGCTGGTACACACACACACACACAAACACTCCAGGTGCTGGTACACACACATACACACCAGGTGCTGGTACACACACATACACACCAGGTGCTGGTACACACACACACACACCAGGTGCTGGTACACACACACACACACCAGGTGCTGGTACACACACACACACACACACCAGGTGCTGGTACACACACACACACAAACACTCCAGGTGCTGGTACACACACACACTCCAGGTGCTGGTACACACACACACTCCAGGTGCTGGTACACACACACACTCCAGGTGCTGGTACACACACACACTCCAGGTGCTGGTACACACACACACTCCAGGTGCTGGTACACACACACACTCCAGGTGCTGGTACACACACACACACCAGGTGCTGGTACACACACACACACAAACACACCAGGTGCTGGTACACACACACACTCCAGGTGCTGGTACACACACACACCAGGTGCTGGTACACACATACACACCAGGTGCTGGTACACACACACATACACACCAGGTGCTGGTACACACACACCAGGTGCTGGTACACACACATACACACCAGGTGCTGGTACACACACATACACACTAGGTGCTGGTACACACACATACACAAACACTCCAGGTGCTGGTACACACACACACACACCAGGTGCTGGTACACACACATACACACCAGGTGCTGGTACACACACATACACACCAGGTGCTGGTACACACACATACACACCAGGTGCTGGTACACACACACACACAAACACTCCAGGTGCTGGTACACACACACACACACCAGGTGCTGGTACACACACATACACACCAGGTGCTGGTACACACACATACACACCAGGTGCTGGTACACACACACACACACCAGGTGCTGGTACACACACATACACACCAGGTGCTGGTACACACACACACACAAACACTCCAGGTGCTGGTACACACACATACACACCAGGTGCTGGTACACACACATACACACCAGGTGCTGGTACACACACACACACACCAGGTGCTGGTACACACACATACACACCAGGTGCTGGTACACACTCATACACACCAGGTGCTGGTACACACACATACACACCAGGTGCTGGTACACACACATACACACCAGGTGCTGGTACACACACATACACACCAGGTGCTGGTACACACACACACACAAACACTCCAGGTGCTGGTACACACACACACCAGGTGCTGGTACACACACACATACACACCAGGTGCTGGTACACACACATACACACCAGGTGCTGGTACACACACACACACAAACACTCCAGGTGCTGGTACACACACATACACACCAGGTGCTGGTACACACACATACACACCAGGTGCTGGTACACACACATACACACCAGGTGCTGGTACACACACACACACAAACACTCCAGGTGCTGGTACACACACATACACACCAGGTGCTGGTACACACACATACACACCAGGTGCTGGTACACACACATACACACCAGGTGCTGGTACACACACATACACACCAGGTGCTGGTACACACACATACACACCAGGTGCTGGTACACACACATACACTCCAGGTGCTGGTACACACACATACACACCAGGTGCTGGTACACACACACACACACCAGGTGCTGGTACACACACATACACACCAGGTGCTGGTACACACACATACACACCAGGTGCTGGTACACACACACACACACACACTCCAGGTGCTGGTACACACACACACACACAAACACTCCAGGTGCTGGTACACACACACACACATACACACCAGGTGCTGGTACACACTCACACACACCAGGTGCTGGTACACACACATACACACCAGGTGCTGGTACACACACATACACACCAGGTGCTGGTACACACACACACACACCAGGTGCTGGTACACACACATACACACCAGGTGCTGGTACACACTCACACACACATACACACCAGGTGCTGGTACACACACATACACACCAGGTGCTGGTACACACACATACACACCAGGTGCTGGTACACACACATACACACCAGGTGCTGGTACACACACATACACACCAGGTGCTGGTACACACACATACACACCAGGTGCTGGTACACACACATACACACTAGGTGCTGGTACACACACATACACACCAGGTGCTGGTACACACACACACACACCAGGTGCTGGTACACACACACACACACCAGGTGCTGGTACACCCACACACACAAACACACACACACACACACATACACACCATGTGCTGGTACACACACATACACACCAGGTGCTGGTACACACACATACACACCAGGTGCTGGTACACACACATACACACCAGGTGCTGGTACACACACATACACACCAGGTGCTGGTACACACACATACACACCAGGTGCTGGTACACACACACACACACCAGGTGCTGGTACACACACACACACACCAGGTGCTGGTACACCCACACACACAAACACACACACACACACACATACACACCATGTGCTGGTACACACACACACACCAGGTGCTGGTACACACACATACACACCAGGTGCTGGTACACACACATACACACCAGGTGCTGGTACACACACATACACACCAGGTGCTGGTACACACACATACACACCAGGTGCTGGTACACACACACACACACACACTCCAGGTGCTGGTACACACACACACACATACACACCAGGTGCTGGTACACACTCACACACACATACACACCAGGTGCTGGTACACACACATACACACCAGGTGCTGGTACACACACACACACACCAGGTGCTGGTACACACACACACACACCAGGTGCTGGTACACACACACACACACCAGGTGCTGGTACACACACATACACACCAGGTGCTGGTACACACACATACACACCAGGTGCTGGTACACACTCACACACACAAACACTCCAGGTATGGGCAAAGAAAATATAAAGTGTCAAGTTGATGATTTTACAGCCAGTCCAATATTATAGTCCGAGCAGTGTTGGTATAATTTATGGACAGCTATAAATTAATGTAATAGTCTTGTGCCTAAAGTTTGCCAAATTTTTATCAAAAACGCTCGAAAATAATAAGAGAATGTATAAGAAAAACATAAATTGTGTATTGGATATTTGCGAGGGCACTCCGGGGGCATTACTGGGCATCTGGCAACTTGAGACCCTCAGGTAATGGTCTCCATGAATGGTCTCGTGAACACATTGTCTCTCGTCACCACCACGTTTGAGCCACCACACACTCCCCCCTTACCCATTAGCAATAAGCCGCTACCACCACTAAACCACCATCTCTCTCTCTCTCTCTCTCTCTCTCTCTCTCTCTCTCTCTCTCACCACCACCACCAAGCCAGCAAGCCAGACCTCATAAGACAGTTAGAGGTCTACACTGCCACCGTCCGTTCTCTCTGGATTTGCTACTAAGTAAAACATCCAAACTTTTAGTATAAGCAGAACGGTTCGAACCACAAGAGCAATCAGGCCGCCACAAGAGCCATCAGGCCGCCACAAGAGCCATCAGGCCGCCACAAGAGCCATCAGGCCGCCACAAGAGCCATCAGGCCGCCACAAGAGCCATCAGGCCGCCACAAGATCCGTCAGGCCGCCACAAGAGCCATCAGACCCCCACAAGAGCCATCAGGCCGCCACAAGAGCCATCAGGCCGCCACAAGATCCATCAGGCCGCCACAAGAGCCATCAGGCCGCCACAAGAGCCATCAGGCCGCCACAAGAGCCATCAGGCCGCCACAAGAGCCATCAGGCCGCCACAAGAGCCATCAGGCCGCCACAAGAGCCATCAGGCCGCCACAAGAGCCATCAGGCCGCCACAAGAGCCATCAGGCCGCCACAAGAGCCATCAGGCCGCCACAAGAGCCATCAGGCCGCCACAAGATCCATCAGGCCGCCACAAGATCCATCAGGCCGCCACAAGAGCCATCAGGCCGCCACAAGAGCCATCAGGCCGCCACAAGATCCATCCGGCCGCCACAAGAGCCATCAGACCGCCACAAGAGCCATCAGACCGCCACAAGAGCCACCAGGCCGCCACAAGAGCCATCAACCAAGAGCCACTAGGCTTGGTGGAGACAGGATAATTTATGAGCCCGACATGAGAGCGTCACAGAAGACCCCCCTGAAGATTCTCAGATACTTAACTAATAAGACATTCACCACTCCTTCCCTTCTTCCCTCCTTTCTTACCCCCTTCTTTCATCCCTCCTTCATCTCCCCTTCTCCTCCCCCTCCTCTTCTTCCTTACCCATTATAATTTGTTGTTCATCTCCCTTCATTATCCTCCACCTTCTTCCCCAATTTCCTCAATTATCTTAATTTCCCCCTTCCCTCTTTTCCTCCCCCACCCCCAAGGTCCCTCAGCACCCAGTTCCCAGCACCCAGTTCCCAGCACCCAGTTCCCAGCACACAGTTACCGTGAACACTCCGACGCTCACCTGACTCATATCACGAAGGACGGTGTCAAAATGGTTTCCTTATTTTTAAGAAACAAGAATGACGGGACGATTAATTTCCGGTAGACTGTAAGAGATCCAGGCACTAATTTCCTCTCCCGTGCAACTTTTGAGAGATAGTGTTTCCTGTCTGCAAACTTGGGAAATTAATTGATGGATCCGTAGGTGTTAGTGTGATCAGTGACGCCTGCCTCCAGTCTGCTACCCCCAGGTTCAGTTCTTTTTCAGACGGATCCTCTGGGTTCGCTATCATCAAAATAAAGGATTTTCGACTTTGCACTCTGGAGCCCCTGGCACTCTGGGGGTCCTGGCACTCTGGGGGTCTGACACTCTGGGTGCCCTGGCACTCTGGGGGCCTGGCACTCTGGGGGGGCCTGGCACTCTGGGGGGGCCTGGGACTCTGGGGGCCCTGGCACTCTGGGGGGGCCTGGCACTCTGGGGTCTGGCCCAAAACGTGTCTTAACAACCAACAATACTGCCGTTCCCCACACACACACATTTCTCAAAAGTTTGGGACGCTCTTGAGGTGATCCGACTTAGTGGGACAACCGTAAAGTCTTGTTCAAGTTGTTTCTCACAGCTTACTCGCTCTACCTCTCTCTCTCTCTCTCTTACTGTCACCCCACGATACTTCTGTACTTCAGTAAGAGGGCAGGTTGTGGGAGGACAGGTTGTAAGAGGACAGGTTGTAGGAAGACAGGTTGTAATAGGACAGGTTGTAGGAAGACAGGTTGCAGGAGGACAGGTTGTAGGAAGACAGGTTGCAGGAGGACAGGTTGTAGGAAGACAGGTTGCAGGAGGACAGGTTATCGGAAGACAGGTTGTAGCAGGACAGGTTGTAGGAGGACAGCTTGTAAGAGGACAGGTTGTACTCTCTCCCCAACATCCTCACGGATTCTCTTGCCCCCCGATATCGTGTCCGTTATTTCTCCATACCACATCTATTATTCCTGTTTTCGTTTCCTTCCTGATATCCCCAGTGACATCTCCGTTTACGACGTGGTTGCCTGCGTGCTTGGTAACGGTGTTGTTTATACTGTAGCAGAGGCAGGAGGTTCTGGACCACAGTGTTGGTACTTGTAGCCGTGTCAATGTGGATATGTAGCCGTGCCCCGTCAATGTGGGCCTCGCTGCAGTGTCTTAAGTTTCTACTGTTCCTGGCTGACGTCTTGCAGGCGTAATATAACTTTGGTAATTACTTGTGGACAGAGTACAGAAGACGGGACTTTATTAGAGGAGACGGGACGTGACGGAGGAGGATAGGGTAGACGGGAGAAGAGGAGAAGGAGAAGGGACGTGAAGGAGGAAGACAGGGAGGATATGATCTGGGGAGAGTACTGGAGAGATGACACCTGGTTTAATATTAATGGATGACTTGAGGTGGTGTGGGTGAGGGAAGGTGTGTGTGTGTTTACTAGTTGTGTTTACTAGTTGTGTTTTGCGGGGGTTGAGCTTTGCTCTTTGGGCCCGCCTCTCAACTGTCAATCAACTGTTTACTACTTTTTTTTTTTTTTTTTTTCTTACACCACACACACACACACCCCAGGAAGCAGCCCGTGACAGCTGACTAACTCCCAGGTACCTATTTACTGCTAGGTAACAGGGGCACTTAGGGTGAAAGAAACTTTGCCCATTTGTTTCTGCCTCGTGCGGGAATCGAACCCGCGCCACAGAATTACGAATCCTGCGCGCTATCCACCAGGCTACGAGGCCCCCCGTGTGTGTGTGTGTGTGTGTGTGTCGGGAGACCTACACGACGGCGGCGCCTGTGCGTCGGCACACCCGACACGGGCCCCCACCGACCACCAGCCGGTGTCAGCGGGCTGGTCGTAAACCACGCTGACGGCTCCTCATGATAAATGTCCGTAATGACTGCGCTAATTGGTGGTGACACTCTACAGGTTATGTGGGGCCCCGCGGTGCCCCGTGTGGGTGGTGCCTGGAGGGCCCCGAGGTGCCTGAAGGAGGGCCCCGAGGTACCTGTAGGAGGGCCCCGAGGTGTCTGAAGGAGGGGCTCCGAGGTGCCTGAAGCAGGGCCCCGAGGTGCCTGAAGGAGGGCCCCGAGGTGTCTGAAGGAGGGCCCCGAGGTACCTGGAAGAGGACACCTCATGGAGGTAACAAGCGTCATAAGGCTGGGCACTATAACTTGTGAGGTTGTGAAGGTTGTGCTGACACACATTCTCCAATTATTTTTGTCAATTTTTCCTAGACGGGCAAGTTTATTGGACGGCGTTCGAGCACCGATGAACACCGGATAATTATTTAACGTTGCATTACCTGGATAATTACTCTCATCTCGGTGTTTGGTGCGATGCTCGGGGTAAATGGATATTATAAGTCCAGCAGATATATATATATATATATATATATATATATATATATATATATATATATATATATATATATATATATATATATATATATATATAATATATATATAAACCTGATGCAGATATTCATATTTTTTACCAGACTGTGATAACATTTATATTCTCAATTTATTTCATGTTACATTGTAATATCAAGTTTTCATCGAGTCTGCAATGGCTTTGGGGATATTGGAAACTCCTTATACAGTAGTCGACCATTTGCATGTTTGTATAATTTTATAAGGGGTGTTTGTTGTGATTTATATCTAAAATATAACAGAGGAACAGCCATTTATCTCATGTTAAGTTTTGTTCCCTCCACAGTAGACTAACTACCATTCGCGTGTGTGGGGGCCGTAACTACGCCAACAGGTAGTTGAGGAACGCAAAAGTCGTGTTAACAACCCATTAGGCCCATTTAGCGTCTACATTATAAATACGCAACACCCATCCGGCTGTTACAAGCTCTATCTTATAGAGATAAGGCATCACTATATTCCTCTAATGCATAAACAAAACTTCCCAGTTTATTGCGCAATAAATATAACAGATAAAGGTTAGTACATCGTGTTCAGAGCCCCCAACTGGCCTGACCCCGTGAGGTCGTACACAGGAGCACTATTAATTCTGATAGAATATCTGTTGATTCTTGGCGGGATCTTAGAGAGGCAGCGTCCTCGTACAGTTGCTGATACCTGTGTCGTCTGGTCGTCTAAGAGGCAGGACTGGACTAGGTGGGGAAGTTGAAATGAGTTTACAGTCCCTACGGATATGTAGGCTGCCTCTTTGATGGGACTATCCTAGCTTTAGTCCTTGATGGAACGACCTCCTAGCTTTACAGGTGGCGACCAGCCCATTTCCTTTCCCCCTTTCCTAACCTCCCCCTTCCCCTGAACCCCTCCCTTGCCCCCTAATTCCACCCGTCACTATACTTGACACTCAGCCCCTGATTTGGGTCCTTCCCCTCCGTCCAAATACCAGGGACCACTAGGGACAAGGCAGCCTCGTCCAGCGAGCCGCCCTCCAGGAGCTAGAGCATCACCACATCTTACAAACATAATTCAAAACATAAATAGTAAATAAGAGAATATGTGTAGAAGAAGGGATAAACTGAGCCACTAGACGAGTCAATATCACACAGGGTGTAGCTGGAGCAGAGAGCAGACCAGACATAATGCCACACACGGCCATCTTTGGGGCGAGTTAACCTATATTTACGCGCATGTAAATGGTGGCGCCCGCCAGCGTATGAGGCAGCAGGGAGTGTATGAGGCAGCAGAGAGAGTGTATGAGGCAGCAGAGGGAGTGTATGAGGCAGCACAGAGAGCGTATGAGGCAGCACAGAGAGCGTATGAGGCAGCACAGAGAGCTTATGAGGCAGCAGGGAGTGTATGAGGCAGCAGGGAGTGTATGAGGCAGCAGAGAGAGTGTATGAGGCAGCACAGAGAGTGTATGAGGCATCAGAGAGCATATGAGGCAGAAGAGAGCGTATGAGGCAGCACAGAGAGCGCATGAGGCATCAGAGAGAGCATATGAGGCAGCACAGAGAGCGTATGAGGCATCAGAGAGAGCGTATGAGGCAGCACAGAGAGCGTATGAGGCAGCACAGAGAGCGTATGAGGCAGCACAGAGAGCGTATGAGGCAGCACAGAGAGCGTGTGAGGCAGCACAGAGAGCGTATGAGGCAGCACAGAGAGCGTATGAGGCAGCACAGAGAGCGTATGAGGCAGCACAGAGAGCGTATGAGGCAGCACAGAGAGCGTATGAGGTGTCAGAGAGAGCGCATGAGGCAGCAGGGAGCAACAGTTGCCTGGGTCACATCTAAGCATAATCTATAATCGTTCCGTAGCCTGACAAGCGACAATTCAGGCGGCTGAATATGGTATTACTAATACTACGCCTGTAAGCTTAAATATGACCCATATCATATTACCGAAGAAATATCTCACAGCTTAAGGTGAATGCCTTGAGATGAGTGCTGGACGGACACATGAGATCGCTCGGAGCCTCGTGTCAGCCAAGATCTTATTTTCCTATCACATTTTTCAATGAAATACTTTATAAGTATGAATATCAGTCTGGATGATAAAGATGATTTGGAACGATAGTTAGAAAGCACTCTAATTTTACGGGTAGAATAGGTACTCATGTTATTCATATTCATCAAAACACACACACATATTTAAACACCTGCTGAGGAGAACTCCAGCTCGAGACTCAGTCTTTGTTGTTGTTTAAG